AAGGATACACATTTTACAGTCGAGTCTCTTAGCAGCTCATGGGCTCCAGAACACTTACAAGGGAAGCAGGGGCCGTGTTTTGTAGATAACTGCAGTGGCAGTGCCCTGGATGTATGTAGACAGACGTGCATCATGGCTGCTCAGCAGGGCCGTCCAGCTCGCTGTCTACACAGATCAAATGAAACGGGCACTCACTAAATCTCCACTGGTATCACCACAAAGAAAGCCAGTCTAGGAGAGGAATTGTCTTAGAGAAACCACTCAGAAGACTGATGTTTTACAAAGAAAACTTGACTGTTAGCAGAGCTCAGAAAAGACCCAAATATTGGTGATGATATTATTACATAATTGCAGTGTTCAGGGAAACGGTTTGGGGCCATGGTGAATATTTCACATCCAAGTAATTAAACAAGGTTGGAAAGCAGATTGCCTGTTTGCCTCTGTGGTTGTTTGAGTCTTTCATGTTTTGTGATTAGGTTTATCGAGTCCATATTTTTTTTTTAAAAAAAAAAACATTTAAACTATTCTGGCACTCAACAGAAACATCTGTCATTTTATCACATTGATTCAAAAGGCGTCTGTATTTCGAGCTGAGTTTTAAAAAAGGAAAATACTGTGTACGGCGTGGAGAGAGGAGTGAGAAGGGAAGAGTGTGTTCCAGCATTCTGCTTTCTTGAGCATGAAGTGATGAGTTGGTGGGCTGACTGTTACCCTCTGTGAGCACTTAAATGAGAGCCAGCGAGCGAACACCGACAGCCCAAGGAACTGTCACCTCCTGTGACTCTCAGGAGGTGCTTGCCCTGTGGGAGATCAACCCTTCTGCAGCTGGTCTGAGCTTTTCTGTTCATCTCTTGCCTTTCCATTACTGTCTCTTAGACCACAGGAAACCAAGACATGGAAGTGGAAATGGTGTCTTAACCAGACGGCAATTTTAAGGTGAACATTGGGGTCACAAATAGATTACCTCACAAAAGATTAGAGAGACTGGGACTTTCCACCAGACGTGCGTGGTCAGAGGTAGCGTTTACTTTATGTGTTACTGTGGTGGATTTAACAATTGGTGGTTTTTCTTTGACCAGGTCATAAATATTTGCTGGCAACAGAATAGTAAGTACAGAAGGGTCACCATCAACGATGACCCCAATTCACATACCGCGGCAGACTGTGGTCCCCTTGGGCGACTTCCTTGTGATTATGTACACAAGCCGGGATCATGGGTGTGATGTACCCTTTTCCTTTCGAGGGCTTGATAGAGTTTGCATGTCCCTATAAGGTGCAGAGTGGGGAAGCCAGAGAGGACAGACTGGATGACTCGGAAGCAGGTGCTTGCCTAGGAATCTCAGGCTCCTGTGCATCTCACAGTGACTCGTTTCCACATAGATAGAGGCTTCTAAGCTCAGGGAGGGTCTGAATGGTGTGAGACTCCATTAGGGCAGAGGAGGGGTTTCTGCTTCCAGATTTTCTAGCTGAAAGGAGAGAAAAAGCAAAGACCGTGAGCACTTTAGATTTGTTGTAGCACATGTTAATTGAGCATCTTCTGTATGTAAGAACTGCATTGAGGGCCCTTATGTATACTTTCACCTGGAACCCTCGGATTTTTCCTAAATGTCAAGACATCAATTAATCCTTTCAGTCATTAGGAATACCTCTTGGGTCAGTATGAATATGCTTTAGCATTTGTGTGTGCAACTGAAGAAGAACTTATGCTGGCTATCACAGGGCTATTAAGGATGGTTTCCTTGAGAGAATACCTATTAAGCCAAACACATTTTCTCCCTCTATTCTTTACTTTCTTCCTCTTTTCTTATCTTCAAATCATTTATGACCTGGCCAAAATTTTTAAAGGAAAATCAAACCCTTTCTTTGCAATGCTTTTAGGATTTTTATTTTTATTTTTATTTCTAAATAAAATGTTCTCAAAATTAATGGATTTTTCCTTTGAATAACTGATTCAAAGTGCATCTGCTCCCCATCTTTACAGTAAAGCCAGTGTATATGTGGAGAATGACATCTGTTCAAGCACAAGAACATGTGGTTTGATCTTTAAAAAACAGGAGAGAAACACTGTGGAAATGAAATGTCTTGCAATTAGCAAATAATTGTTGACACCACTATTACTGTAATTTTGGTGAGAAGAAAAGGAGATGTTTGCACAGTAAGCAAAAAGGATGCAATATTATTATTTTTTAAGCTTTATTTTCATAGATTTCAAGTTTTAGTAAATGTGCAAAAGAATTCTGTGGTGCAAAGAACACTTTTCTATCTGATGTCCTGATTCATCTACTATGAACGTTCACTTAACTGTTGGCTTTCTCTTTCACTGTCCCCCCCCCCCCCCCAACAATTGATACCAAGGTGACTCTTTACCTCTAAATATTCCAGTGTATATTCCTGAGAATAAGGAAGATTGGATCACTATCACATCAGGAGAGGAAGGCCACCAAGAGCCGGCACTGTCTCTGTACACACTTAATGACTATGTCCCAAAGCCTGTGACACTGGCCATCTTCGCAGCTAGGACACATCCAGGGAGCACAGCACTGACCCCCATGAGAGTGCTTGGTCCTGGAGAAGGCTTCTTAGGCTTCTTTATTGCTCCCCCAGGTGCTGTGACTTTGGCTTTGGGTCTCTCAACTGTGACAGAGCCACACTGCCCTGGGGTTGCAGGCGTCAGGGGAACTGGCACCACTATGCTGATGCTTCCCTTGCTCACTCTGCTGCCATGAACAGTCATTTGTCTTCCTGCTACAGTCTCCAGAGTTGCAGCAAGGCCCCCTGCTCATTGCTTGGACATGTCCTTTAGAGTCTTGTTACTTTTTGCCATCTCTTGAGAGCCTGGGATTTTTCCCAAAGTGGCATAAAGTTCAGGATGCCAAGGTAGGTAACCCCTCTTTGGAAGAAAAAAGGCAGAGACATTGGAAACTCCCCGGGGATGCTAGCAATTGTTATGGCCCAAATGGTACAGAAGCAGGCTGGAGATGACCCACCTCTGTCCTACATGTGAATGAGCACAAGTTGGAGGCTCCATGGATGGGACTGGAGATGAGGGATGACATTTAATCAGCTGCCCTGGTGGCACATGCTCTCCTGTGGGACGATACTCACGGAGCATTCTGGGCCCCATCAGAGAGGAAAGCATAATTGTGCCAAGTTTTTTTCGCAACCAAGAATATCTGGAGGCCATTATGTCCCACAGAGCACATCCATTATGAGCGGGGAAGGAGGAAAGTGCAGGGGTGCTGTCCTCAACACCGAAGAGCTGTCAGAAACTGGGCTGTGGTGGTGCTGTGCGGAAGGAGCGAGAAGGTGGTGCTTCTTGGGTCAACAGTAGCACCCAGGCTGTGCCATGGGGGACCCTGTGCCTTAAACCACTGTATAGATTCGTCTGTGAGACAGATTCATGCCTCAGGTGGTGTCTGCTCTTGTAAATGTCTGTTTTAATGACTACATATGGCCAACCCAGGAGGCTTTCTTGAAGTCAGTGAGTTGCACAAAACACCACAGAGAGAGCAATTCAAAGCCTGAGGATGACACTACGAGAGATTCTGTCTGTCCTGGCCACCAAGATCCAGGCCACAAAGACCCCTCACCTAGAGCATGACTGCTGAGGATTCAAGACTGCCCTCCTCTCCGCAAGCGGAAGATCCCCCTGCCTTTGTGGCTGGAGATCCTGGACTGGGAGCTCCGCTGACTCAGGACCACTGACGGCCAGGAGAGGGGCAGGCTGGAACCCAGGGAACATCTCTGCTGCCCAAACAAAGCTCAGGATGCAAAAGCCTAGTCCCCAAAGGCCCCAATCACAGGACAGTGTGGATATGCTTATATCCACAGGTAGGGCTTCCCAGGGAAGAGACTGACAGTTGATCTCCAAGGGAAAAAAAAAAAAAAAAAGCATCAGATTTCAGGCTATGGTGAGTCCTGCAAATGTGGTGTGTTCACAGATGAAATCACCTGCTTCTGTAGAACCGGATTCCTCTGAGATTAATCTCCTTCTAATGGAGGCACTAGGAAGACACTGGGCACTTCACTCTGCTCCCCCAGAGGCTCACTGCCTGACTCTGCAGAGATAGGGGCCTGATATCATGGGAGGGCACAATGGAGGTAGGGGTGGGGTGAAAGTGAACTTTTTATGTCTCTTTTGTTTGTTTGGGTAGTAGGGATTGAACCCAGGGTCACTTAACCACTGAGCTACATCCCCAGCCCTTTCCGTTTGGTATTTTGAGATGGGGTCTTGCTAAGTTGCTTAGGCCTCACTAAATTGCTGAGGCTGGCTTTGAACTCATGCTCCTCCTGCCTTAGCCTCCCCAGTTACTGGGATTACAGGCATGCACCACCATGCCTGGCTTATATCTCTTTTCAATATTCCTGGTCAGACACTAGGTTCTGTTGAGAGGCCAGGGCCATGCATTTAACCGTCCAGATTAGAAATGGAATAAAACAGGGAAGGAAGTAACTGTGATCATTGTGCAGGACTGATTGGACCCCTGTGACACACTGCTTTTGCTGTTTCCATGGCTGACTGTATAATTGGTACCGGTAATTTATGTGCTTGTTCTGTGAATGCTTACGATGTCCAGGGGATTTTTTTCACGTTTTTCAAGAGCCACTTGTAGACAGATGATAGTGGGACATGTGCACAACAGGTCACAGCTTGGCTTTCGGCTCCCTTCCATGTTTTAAAAAGAAACAATTTAGAATTCTAAATTCTAAGAGGAAAGGCAACCACAGCCTCGATTAAGGACTTCAGTGCAATAAGACCTAATGAAAAAAATGCAGCGTCTCTTACAATGGCCCTGTGTGGCCAATAACAAAAGCTGATGGGACCTGGAGGCTTATGATGCATGATTGTCAACTGGATTCACATTATAGTTCTGGCTGTTGCAGACGGTGGCCTGCAGTACTGGGTGTTCGGACACCGTGATTGCAATGAACCTATTGCTCAAGATGACACCCGCCTGGACACAGGTCAGGTCATTTTGCTCATTCTTTTTTACTTGAAGATAAAGACCCTTCTCCTGGTTGAGCCTCCAAAAATACGATGCCATGCTGCTGAAGAACTACTTGAATTCTCCGGCTATTTGCTACTAAGGGATGTTTCAAAACACAGGCCAAGTCTCTTTTTTCTGCAGGTGAGTTGGTCCTACTGAGTGAAAATATTATATTGAGAGGCCACAATAAACAGTAGATGCTAGATCACATGAAGTCCCAGAAAGTCTCATTAAATCTAACAAAAACACAGGAGTCAGCCATCAGAGTCAAAAGTCTTAAAAACAATGTGGTCTGATCCCAGAGACAGTTAAGAAAATGTTCTTTGCCCTGTGGTTCACCACTGTCAGACTGGAAGCCTGGCACTCAGTTGGCCTACTGAGGTATCAGAGACAATCTGTGATTTATCTAGTATCCATTTTGTTGAGTTGTATGTATAAGTTGATGGAAAATTAGTCAAATTTGACTGGGGACCTACATAGCAGATGACATGGAATCAGGGGACAGTAGACCAACCCTGTGGCCCTTCTGGGAAGGAAGTCAGCTTCCATCTGGATGTATCCCTAGAATTCCAGACTGGATTCCTCTTCGGTACCACTGCCCAATTCACTGAGGGAAGGAATACGTTAGACTCCCAAAGTGTGGGAGAACAGAAGAATTAACATTTCTTTTTGCTCTTGAAATCCTGTCCCTCAGTCTGGCAAGACTATCACATGGTCCACCAGAGATAAGCAGCGGTCTGACAGTCCAACTGTGCCACCATTGGATTTATCACCTCCATCCATCTCCTGTGGGAGAAGCTCATGTCGGCCGCTTGGTCCTGAATTATTCTACCGTACCTGATGTTATCAAAAGCAATTCCTGAAGATGAATCTCTCTTGTACATGTAGAAACACTCAGAGGTAACTTTGTGCTAATTAAGCTCATACAAATTTATGTGCTTCCCCTGACACCTGAGCACCTGGGGATTATGCCATGTATGGCTGTCCAGGCTACAGGTACTTGGTGACTCTGCCAATCTGATTTAGCAGAACTAATGTAATGGCTATCTGAATCACCTTAATCAATAAATCCTGGGAAGGAGTAACTTGTCTCCTTTATGCTTCTATGTGGGAGAGAAAGTGCCACAAGATATCCCTTCAAGGGGGCTGATTTTTGGCTCATCTTTGACTCCTTGCAATTATTGGCACTAATCCTTGGGTCATATTCCCTCCTTTGGGCCCCAGGTAAAGAGGGATGTTCTACTTGAAGGATACAGTTTTCTGTTTCCATACAGCAGTGTGAGTTACCTGTTACCTGGTCTCAGAGAACACATTATAGAGACAGATCAAAAATCTCTATTTTGCGTCTAATCATGATAACCAATGAGATGGAACCAACCTAGAAATCAACAAGTCTGTCTGAACTCCCTGATTGTAGATGGATCGTTGATTGGCCTTAGATTACATCCTGAGCAGCAGGGAGGGTATGTATCCGTCTCAACTGGATGAATACCAACAGTGTGGTGGCTCTATCCATGAGTACCCTAAGGAAGGAAGCTACATGATTGTCTGAAATAAGACTTATTAGTCTTTTCTGGGACTTACTCACTTGATCCTAGAATACTGGAGTTCATGATTAAGTTTGATATTTCAGATTGACCTCATCCTGTGGATGGGATTCTGTTGACAGTAACCTTAATCCACTATTGGTTGAAAAAAAAAAAAAAGGAAGAGATTTGGTCCTAGTGTTCATATGTTTAAAATAAACTGCTTATTGGGCAGCCAAATCATATGAATATTTAAATTCAACTACTCATATGCTGGGCTGACAGGTGAACTACTGGGAGACATAGTCCCCTGAGCATGGGATGCTGATCCTCTGACCCAGAATTGTTTCTACAGCTGGTCACGTAGTCAGTTTAGAACCTTCACTCCCTGCCTGGCCACATGAAGACGATCATGACCCATTGTGACCCTCACTTATGAGGGAGGAGGGTTTGCTTACTGCCCACTGCAAAGGCACTGACCCTCAGGTCTGGGCTCCGCAGAGGCCGTGCGATGCACTGTGTGCAGCAGCGATCTGTCTGATGCGTCGCACAGTGAGACGTGCCGGCAAGGAAGCTGGCATCACCATACTAATGTGCCTGCTGTTTGTTGTGCTGAAATAAACTCTTCTCTCTGGTCCACTGAGTCAGATTGTCTATTTTTTGGTCACCCATGGAGTAGTGACAAGCCAATCTGCTTGCTTGCTAAAATAATACTCCCTTTGGAGTCATGGAACTCTCTTCCATTTTCTAAGGCTGGGTTTCTTTCCCCAAAATAATCACAGTGCAGTCACACATTTCGGTGGATTTGACATTTGACATTAGATACCATACTTAGTGCATTGGATACATAGATATAATATGATTTCCTACCAACAGTTTTCCATTTTTTTCCAGCAGTTTTTTTTAACTATAATTTTTTTTTTTTGCCCAGAAAGTCAACAAGCAAATCCTTTTGGGCTATCTTTTGGTCTATTAAAAAAATAAAATGCTTGAAAAGCTTTTATGCTTCAAACTGAAGCTGATCTAAGGTGCTTTTAGTTTCTGTCCACACAAAGATTCATGTGTTCCTTCAGTTTCAAAGCTAGAGAAAATTTTTAAGAGATTATATTTTTTAACTTCATCAATCTATGGAAAAGACAAAAACCTGGAGAGAAGAAGTGACATGCCCAAGGGCATTGGGTGAAAAAAGCCAGCTTAACATTATTATTTTGCAGTGACTTTCCTGAACTTCCGTTTTTTTTTCTTCCTTGATTGTGATGCCATCCAAATTTGCAATTGAAGCTAATCACAGAATTGGGTACTGTTGAAGCTGATCAGAATTTCAGCCAGTAATAGGCTTCAAAAATCTTATTCATTACAGAAACCAAAAACCAAAAACAACAACAAAAACAAAAATAACCCAAATAACCAGAAAAACCCAGCAGAGCTTCACAAGAACCCCTTAGAATTGCTGACTCAGGGCAAAGACCTCTGCGTAGCTATGTAAGAGGGATCTCAGCCCTTCTCTCAAGCTCCATCACCTGAAGCAGACATATTGGGATCCTGAGCAGAAGAGTCGGACTTCAGTTAAGGAGAACTCAGGAGATGTGGAATAATTGATATCCATCCAGACTGGATTTGTCATATGCTTTCTCTTGCTTTTAATATGGACTTGTTGTGTTCAGTATAATAAATCTTTTCTCTTGTAAAATAAAGATTTGGTGATTATTTTTGTGGTCCACTACAGAAACTGGCCTCCATAGTCTGAATGGAGCAATCAATCAATCCCAAATTATGGTCCTAATTCTTGGGCACTCAAAAGAAGCTAAGAAAATCCTACTTAGGAAGAGCTCCTTTAAGCTGCCCCTGGCATGGGATGCCAGACTCCCACAGGGGGTCGTCATTATGGTTGGCACCAGAACACAGGTTCCCTGGCTTCAAATCTTGTGTTATTTCACAAGAAAATATTATAATATTCAACCTTTGGTATGCTTCTGACAGTTTACTATATATAGAAGCCTTTTCAAATAAATGTTTCCTCCAAAGACATTTTATTCAAAACAAAAGAATATGTCAGTTCTAATGCTTACCCTTAGCAATGTGTAATTTAATTCAATAAAAACATATCCCAAAGCTATATAGACTCTTTCCCTTATAATTATAGCCAGAAAGTGGCAAGCTTCAAAACAAAGCAAGAGTGAAAACCCAAACAAAACACAGCCTTCTCTATTTTCAGAGAAATGACTTTTTAGTATTTTGTTTGTATAATGAAGTAGGCAGACCACTTATTTTACATGAGTGGGAATAAGAGCTCAACAGTTGATTTTAGGATTCTTGTCAATGTCATTAGACACTGAACTTTGAATAGATTATTCATAGCTAACTGGGAGTGATGGTCTACAGTAGATTTTTCTAAATGGCTTAGAGAAATAATTCTGTGAGATGGTATAAGGTGTTCTGGGGAAATCTGGACCTTAATTTGAGAAACTTGGCTTAAAAATGAAATATACACACACACACACATGGAGAGAGAGAGAGAGAGAGAGAGAGAGAGAGAGAGAGAGAGAGAGAGAGAGAGAGAAACAATTTAAAACCCTTAGAACGCTAATACACAGTAACAATCCCCATAACTAAAATAAAAGCAACCTTCTCTGTGTTTTTCTTCAGGATCATTCTCCATGGACTACCTTACATTTCACTATAGTCGTGATCTGCAAGAACCCAGCGGAACTAGTAAACCTGAAAACCTTAAAAACCTTAATTTGGAGAATCATTCCCTCTGATTTCTTAATTGCCAAATCTTAATACCTGACCTCTCTCTCAATACCCCTTTGATACAGGCAAAATGCTGATGTCTGAATGTTAGAAACTTCTAGTAACAAGGAACTATCTGTATTTCAAAGTAAGAAAAGGAAGTCCTTTCTGAACGCAACAAATCATATACATTAGATAAGTTTATCTTTCTGTGTGTCAATCACACCACAATAAAGTGGTTTTAAAAAAAGAAAAGTTATTTTGGGTTGTATTGAAATATCTTTCCCTGTAATTTCTACCCTTTGGCTTTAATTAGTGGGGTTATGTTGGAAAGGGCAACATAACTGTTTACGTTCCTGTAAGTGTGTGATGACTCTCTGGTCCTCCGGGAGTCTCTGTTTCCTAGGTAGCCAGTGCAGTTCTAGTAACTCTCTTGGCCACCTCGTTTACTCATCTCTGAGCACAGTTTAATTTGCTTACCTCATTCCTGAAGTGCAAGATTGGTCTGAGTGAGGCTAATATCTGATATATTCTAGACACTGAAGTTCTGTTAAAATAATCAATAATTCCAAAGGTTTGCAAGGCCTATAGCATTCTGTTGTCCATGAAGTAAAATAACCATGTTTTTTTAAAAAAATCTGTTATCACTCATATTCTATGCTTCTATAGTTGAATTTTTGGATTAAAATATTTCTCTAATAATACATTTTTAGTTTTGCCTTATTTTCTAGTATGGTTGGCTCCCTTTTCCTATTATCTGGGTTATTTAGCACTCCTCCATTGATAGAGACTTAGGGCAAGAGTCAGTTAAGTTTATAAACCTGCCTCATTGTACCACTACATGCAGATCATGACTAAAGACAGCACAATCTCATGGAAATTAACGAGAGCAAATCTCGTGTTGCAGACACTATTGATATTGATGCTACCTGGTCTCCCTGGCCAGGGATTCTATATGAAAATAAAATTTGTTTTGCCATAACTAATCTGATCTTACCTCTTAGAGGCTGCTGGCTTCCTTTCTGGGTGCTCTTGGAATAGTTTAATCATTGGATCTGGGTTGGAGGGCAATGCGCACAAAGCTAGCTGTTCTGTGGTCTTCAGTTGCTACAATGTTCCCATTAATCTTGGGGCTCTATTTCTTTGGGGAGCTTTCCAGGGCTCCTCTCATTCTTTGCTTCAGAGATTCTGATTTGTGTTTCATTAACTATGTTTCATCCACAAGTTCTCTAATGTTTTAATATTGCAGGAGATTTGACCTCATTCAGGGCCTCCCAGGGTTCTCTAGCAATATCTTAACCTTTATTGGCCTTTAATTCTTTCTTAATAATGTTTCAAGCTGAAGATCATCTTCTCTGAGAGAAAAACCTAAAGTAACACATGGGTGGAGGAACTGTGCCTTCCTTTGGCTTGTCTTCCATGAATCCTGAGCCTTTCCCCACGCAACTGGGGAGCATGCCCAGGAAGGCTTTCTTTGGAGAGATCAGTGTGATGTCTCAGAGGAGGGTTCAACTAAAATCAGGCCACCTGAGGTCTAGTTCCAGCTCTCCCAGGCACGGATTTGATGGCATCACGACTAATTTGGACCTTGATGCTTTTCCATCTGTTCAACAGTTGGTCAGGTTGTATCAGTGGTTCTCCCTGGGTCCCCTCATGTCCAGGGGACAGTAGACATTTTGGCTGACACAACTAAGGGTGGGTGGATACTACTGGCATTTAGTGGGTAGAGGCCAGGGATGCTGCTGGACTTCCTGCAATGTATATCTGCCAAAAATGTCACTAGTGCTGAGGTTGAGAAGGCTTGGCTTACACCACCAATTGGCTCATTATTTCATTTCTTTGAAATATTCTTTACAAGAGATACAATTCAGTTATGGGAAAAAGGGAAGGGAAGAGGTGAGAATAGTAACACCTTGCCAAGTGGCTTAACATAGTAGCAGCCAGTTACCTGGCCTTTGCCTGATCATCAGATGCCAAGCTCACATCTAGCTTAAGCACTGGCCACTGTAGTCATCACCATTCTTACAGGTGGGGAAATTAAAACACAGAACATTTCAGAAAACTGCCCAGGGATACTCAGAAGATAAGTGGCAAAGTTTGGGTAAATTGAGCCATCTAAATTATTTTCGAGATTCTATACGATTCATGTATGTTATTCCTTATCTAATGGTAAAGTTTCCTTTTCCTGTTTAAATTTTTAAATTAAATTTACATGCACCAGAGTATACGTAAAATCTAATTATCTGTTGTTTTTCTTTAGTTGCAAAAGTTTTCTTAAACTCAATTTGGTGTCTTTGGAAAAACTTCATTATCATTTTTTTATGTTTAGAGAAAAAGGCACATATTGAAAGTGTGTTTCTGGGCTACAGTTTCCCCATTTGTGAGAAGAGGTCTGGACAAGATGGGCTATACCATTTTTTTTTCAGTGCCAGTGTCTAAGCAATGTGACTATTTTTGCATCTGCTTGACAAATCCAGTTGCATTTTTGTCATTTAGATGTTGCTATTTATTTATCCTGTAGCCATTTAAAAATCTATTTGTCTCACTGGATTTCTTAGGCAATCAGAAAAATGTCTAGTTGGTGAAGAACATGCAAGCCCTATGACTACCCTCATTTGCAACAGTGTGAAATCCTGTGAAACACCGACTCTTCCATTTCCAAAGAGTAGCTCAAAGAAAGTTTTTTTTTTTTAATGTTGATCCTTTGAATCTGAATAAGTCTATATTTAGTTATATTGAGGGATTTTTGATCATAAAGCTGTCTTAGCTGATGTGATAGAGAAACAGGAAGAACAGCAAGAGTAAGATATTCTTGCTTAGTTGTAAATTATAAGATGGGTTCAGTAGGTGATTTTATTGTGAAATATATGGTAGTCACGTCCCACTCTATATCCACTATTTAATGCATTT